GGGGGTTCCTTCCGGTCAAGTGGGAGAGACTCCCAAACCCCTTCATACATGAGGGGTGGTTTGGGGAGTCAACTCCCAAAAAAAAAAAAATGAAAATTGAAAATTGAAATTGAAATTGGGCGGACGACTCCCAAATTCCGCCCACATTTTAGAAGACGACTCCCAACGGACGTCTGCTGACGGTTGTTGGGAGTCGTTTTTCCAAGTCCCTTTCGGAAAGGGTTGTCCAGTTGTCTTGCTTTTTTTTTTTTTTTTTTGAAAATTTTTGAATTTTTCTTTGTACTGAACTACAGCCGAGGAGGTACAGCTGTCACGTGTAGTTCAGTTCTGACAGGTCCAGTTCAGTAAAAAAGTGAAAAATAAAAAAAATAAAAAAGAATTTGCGAGTCCAAGTGGACAACCCTTTCCAAAATAGCTGTATGTAGTGGGCAGAACTTGATAATTACTAACTATCATCAGCTTTTTCTTTTTGAGAGATCTGATTCTTAGGAATTCTTGTTGCCAAAAACTGACAGGGGGGGTTAAAAAAATCTGATGGGGGTGTTAGAAATTCTTCAAGGGGGGGGGTGACATGATGGGTCACTGGAAGGGGGGGGGGCTGCAAAAAAGAAATAATAATGATAATAATAACAAATCATACATTTTTGGTTACTAACCTACATTGTTCCCCAAAAATTCCATACATTTCAGGGTGAGTAACAATTTGCCCAAAGATGCCCATTCATACATTTTTGGTGAGTATCATTTTGGGTTTTTGCCAAAAAATTCATACATTTTGGTTACTGACATTTATAGGGGGTTTCCTGGGTCCTGCCACAAGGGGCTTGGTTAAACAACTCCCAAAAACTGGAGCCAACCTGTCAAACCCCCCAAAACCCAAACTTATCAAAGTCTCTCGCTTTGGAGGGCCTGGTGGCCTTGGCTGGCATGGAATGCCACTCGCTCAAAGCGCAAGCCTCCGAAGGAGGGACTTAGGACAAAAGCAAACATGCCCGCATGTCACGGTTGGGCAGTTTTGGTGTAACGGACTTTCAGTTGGATGTACAACCTGTACATTTTGAGGTATTCACAAGCTGGGTAGACAGGATTTTAGATCCTCATGATGCCTCTCACCTCATCTAATTTTTAGAGCTTTATCCTTAAAATTGGATGAGGTGGATTCTTTTTAAGTTGGTCAAATTGAAAAAATTGAAACTGGCTTATGTAAGCTCAGCCAGCTTGTCATTTGGCAAATTTTCCTTTATAGTTCTTCAATTGTGTAGTTTTCACTTTTTTCCAAAAAACATTGACACAAGTCAAGACCTCCATGTTGGGCATCTTGAGCCCAGCTCAGTTTTCAAGAAATCCACAAGCTCCATTTTTTATGATTTTTGGCACAAAAAACAGCCTAAAAACTTGACTGTGGCACCCAGGCATGTTTGTTTTGGGCTCAAGCCTCTCCCGCACTTTGTGTGTTCGACAGAGAGGCTGTACAAGCTCACCCAAAACCATCTACATACATAACTTAACCCAAGTCCCTCAATCGGAGGGCCTGGTACAGCCAGGCTGGCGCCTTGCTTTGCGAGTTGCCTATGGACCTCTGTCAAGGGGATTTGTTAAGCTAGCAAAACCATTGACTGATTTGGGAGTCAACTCCCTAAAACAATTATGAAAAAAAAGAAAACCCCCAGTCTGTTTGGGAGTTGATCCTCCCAAACCAACCAGGGTTTGGGGGTCAATGAACCAAAAGACCACCATGGCAGCAGCCAAGAGGATTCCTACCGGCCGCACTTCTTGTGGAAAACATTCTGAAACCAACCAACAACACACAACAGACAAGCAAGTGCCAAGTCATCCTTAACTTCCTGGAGATGAACCTGTGATTTTCTCTGCTCGCGTTGGGCTTGTTCCAATGTGGGACAGCCCACCAATATATTGTAAAGGTTCTTATCCTAGCCAAAACAACTGGTCTGTTTGAATCCGTATATTGATTTACAAAGATGCTCAAAATTGATCATTGATGGTGAGATGGATGGCCATGTAGCTGGTGGGATACCTGGATGGGTCACCACACTTTTGTGTCCCCTTTGTACAAACGCAACCAAGTTTGATAGATCCTGGAGGCAATATTGGGACAAAATGATCAACCATATTGTGTTGAATCAGATTGGCTTGCCAATTAATGGTACCATCATCAGCGTCCAGGTTGAAAACATGTTTGTCAATCCCCCCCCCCCCCCCCCTAGAGATCATTGGACAGAAGGAAAGAAATCCCTTCTGCTGAAAAGGGACATGTACCTTGTTGACTGGAAAGAAGACCTTTCGGGTGAGGAGGCACAGTACCTTTTTGGGCTCAAAGCTCTACTTTTTCAAGGGCAAGAGAGGTCCTCTTGGCCGAGAGGACTGTACAGTCTTTGGGCCGGGTGGTAAATAATACTGTGTTTCTACGCAGAAAAAATAAAAATTTCTCCATTATCTCCTTTAATCATTCAAGAAATTGGGAAAAATGACATCCAAAATGGAATCCCTCAGTTAAAAAACCCCTTAGTCACCCACATACACCCTAATCCTTATCTCTTATAGTTTAGAAGGTACACAGATTTTCACCTGTCACGGGATATTTCCTGGAATCCTCACTCTAGCCATAGGTCATTATGGATACAGGGATGCATATTGCATGCTGAACTCCTTTGTAGTAAATTGAATACCTTTACGTTGTTTTGAATCCCTTTGTATTAGTGATATTGCATGTATGCATCCCTTTGATCATACATATGCGTCCCTTTATTCATTCATATGCATCCCTTTGTAGTAGTATCTTTCAGCCTGTACCCTGGGGCCAAAATCCCTCACATTTGTCTATATAAGGAGGCCTCTGCCTGCCAGTTGTTCCCTCCATCATCCCACCAGTGGACCAGATCATCTCAACCACCCTTATAAATAAATCCATCTTATATATTATTTCATAACTACAAGTCATAGCCACATTACAATTTCAGAATTATATACATTGAAATACAGATTTAACACTTTCATCATCATCATAAACCAAAAGTGCCCTGAACCATATTCATCAACAACAACTTCATCAATATAACCAACAGTCAATAACATCTTTATACCCTCACACATATCAATCAGCAGCTTCATCTCGAACTTATCCCTATCACTATATATAAAATTGCCAAGCTAAGCTTGGTGGTCTTGTTAATCTGATAGTATAGAAGGGCAGAGCTTGCAACTCCAACATACCCTTCTCCATTCAGCAAAAGGGTTTTCATAACCACTTTTGAGTCTTACACCGGGAGGGGTTCCTCCCAGCCTGAAGATGTTTTTTCTTTCTTCTTTTTTTAGAATCCAACTGCATGTGTGGGCTATTCCATAGGACCCATGCCTGGATCCTATGGGATAGCTGGCCCTAAAACCATATAAATATGGGTTTAGGACCTGCACACCAATCTACCTTGCTGCAGATTGGTGTGTGCCAGGGGGGGGGGCGTTTAATTATCAATCAACAAAACCAATCCAACAGCCAACTCCCCCACCTCCCCCACCGGCACC